GGTCCCGGCAGGTTTCAGGGGGTTCCCGGGGGGTTGGGGTGTCCCTGGGGCAGTTTGGGGGTCCCGGCAGGTTTCAGGGGGTTCCCGGGGGGTTGGGGTGTCCCTGGGGCAGTTTGGGGGTCCCGGCAGGTTTCGGGGGGTCCCGGGGGATCCCCAAGGATATAGGCTCAGCAGCTTCCCGGCCACCTCGGCCTGGGGGAGGTACCAGGGGTGGGTCGCCAGGAAGAGCCGGACGAGTTGGGGGTCCCGAACCTTCCCCTGTGCATCTGGGAGGGCAGAGAGGGGTCACCCCAAAAACCCAGGGACACTCCAACACCCCCCTGGGGCCTCCAGCCTCCCCAGAACCCCCCAAAACTCCCAACCCCTTTCCTCTAGAGCTCCCCAGACATCCCAAAGCCCAGAATTCCCCCAAACCAAACCCCTGGCACTCAGAAGGTGCACAGTCTCCCCCCCTCCAAGCTCCCTCCCCCCCCACCACCAAAATCTCAGGGCCCCCCAAATCCAGGGGGTCCCCAAACACCGGAATCCCCCAAGCCCTGGAATCCCCCCAGACCTCAGGGAATCCCCAAACCCCAGGGTCACCCCCAGACCCCCCCGGACCCCCAGCCCGGGGCACCCCCCACACCAAAGGCATCGACGCAGCCCCGCAGCAGCTCATCCAGGGTGGGGGCTTGATCCAGGTCCAGGGAGCAGCTCATGGTGGGACCCCAAAACTGGGAGGATTGGGGGGGAGTGTCAGCACCAGGCACCCACCGGGACCTCCCAGACTGGAGCTGGGAGGGCCCGAGGGGTCCCCATGTCCCGGGGGTCCCATTTTGGGGGTCCCTCGGGCACGAAGGGGCTGGTTTGGAGGGGCTGGGAGGGATCTGGGGGAGTTCCTTGGGGGTCCCACTTCCCCAGGCCCCAGAAGTCCCAATTTGGAGGTCCCGGGGGGTTCTCTGGCTCTGGGGGTCTCGGTTTAGGGGTGCCAGACCCCTCCGTGGCCCCCCCGCCCCGGACGGGGTCTTGCACAAGCGTTTGCACAACCCCGCGGGCGGGGGGGTCCAATTTCCCCCCCTGCTCTCCCCGAATCCCCCCCGAGCCCCCAATTTCCCCCCTCCCGGGTCCTGCACTCCCCGATAACGCGGCGCTTCCTGAGCCCCAGTTCCGGAGCGTCCCAGTCCGGGGGTGGGACACACGCCTGGGGGGACTGGGAGGGACTGGGGGGGGCTGGGGGGACTGGGGGGGACTGGGGGGGACTGGGGGGGACTGGGGGAAATGGGAGCGAGGGGGACTGGGGCCATTGCCGGGGGACTGGGAGCACTGGAATGGGGGTATCCCGGGGCACTGGGACCGCTGGAACTGGGGGTACTGGGAGCACTGGGACAGGGGTACCCCCGGGCATTGGAATGAGCAACGCGATGGGCTTGCTGGAAAAACTGGGAGCACTGGGACAGGGCCAGTGCTGGGAGCTCTGAGCACACTGGGACGGGGTCATCTCGGGGAACTGGGAGCGCTGGTGGGGGGCTCTGGGGGGACACGCGGGATCCCGCACTGCCCCGCTCCTCGCTCCGTCCCCCTCCCCGACCCCGAGACCCCTCGGGGACTCCCCGGATCCCCCCGAGACCCCCCCGAGTCCCCCGGGACCCCCGAGACCCCCCAGCCCAGACCCACCTGCTCCGGTGGCCGCGGCCGTGGCGGGAGGACCCGGGAGGGGCGGAGCCGGGACCTGGGGGAGCTTGGGGCGGGTTCGGGGGGGTTTTGAGGTGCCCGGGATGGGTGGGGAGGGGGGAAGTGGTTTGTGGTTAAACAGAAACGCGGCGCCGGGAGCGCCCCGGGAGGGGCGAGGAGGGTGGAGGCCCCAGAACCACCCCCGGAGACCCCCAGATCCCTCCCACAAGAACCCCTTTGGACTCCCTAAAGTTTGAGGAGGAACTTCGATCCCAGGGGAAGAGACATGAAAAATCCCGAATTTCTCTAACTTCTTTATTTTCCTTAATTTAATTTCTTTAATTATTTTATTTCCTTTAATTCCTTTATTTCCTTCATTTTTTAGGGGAGGGACCCCCCCCCCAGTTCACCCGGTGATGCTGTGGGGTCCCCCCAGTTCCCGAGGTGGAGGCGGAGGGGAGACCCTCCCTTAATAAATTAAAAATGACCAAATGAGCCCCAAACTGCCCCAAATGTCGGGGATCCCCCTGAGCCCTCCCAGTTAATGTGAGGGAGGGGATTTAGGGAGGCCAAGGCACGTGGTGGGGCCCAGGGGGGTCCCAGGGGGGTGGAACAGTCGGGGGGAGGGTTTGGGGGGCGATC